CACTAAAAAACGGTTCTTTTACAGACTGTTCACTGAATGGTTCTTCATATTAACCCCTTATTCATTCACCCAAAAAATGGTTCTTCTAGAGGGTTCTTTCTTAACATAAAATTCTGCATAAAAACCTGATTGTTCAAGAAGCAGTCTGCTTGAATCTTCTAAACACACATCTGATGTTGTCTGATGAATTAATCTGATAAATGACCAGCTCTGGTTAGCACTGGTTTAATGGGCATGATGAAATCCCTGCGCTAGTCATCGTGTCAGCCACCATTTTCCACTCCAGCCAGTCAACAGATGGATCTGTGGGTGAGCCGCTCTCCATAGACGTGCAAATACGGGGCGGTTGATACCGTACGGCGGTTTATTTACGTTAGTAAAGTCACATGCACAGTTGCACACCATGACTTTCGCTCAGCCACGAGAGTGCGCAGAAGCCCTTTCCATTTCCAGTTTATTATAGTACAGTGTTGCTATGTAGGCTGTGACGGAGAATGGTGAAACGCTCATAAATCACCCCGTGATTGGCTGATGGGAACCACATGGCTGTGGCGCGGGCGACACTGAGCTCATGCGCCGGCCTCGCTGCGGTTAACCGGCACACACACACACACACACACACACACTGACCTCAGCCAGCACTACAGATGGGTGTGGGAGCATGGCTCATTCACCCGTTTTGCCCACACACACAAAAGTACATATTGAAATCCATATGCACAGCAAAAGCAAATACGTTTGTATATTTGTATGCAGCGTCACACACACACACTTGAGTGTGACATAAAGCATTTTTAGTGTCCTCATTAAATTTAGCTGAGATTGGAGGTCTGGGTTGGAGTTTAACCATAAGTACAGGGTAGCCTGTTATTCCTTCGAGATGGAGAACATGTGCCAGCCGATGACTGTAATTATGTGCTCCCGGCCTTTTTATGACAATTGAGCCGTGTTTATTTTGTGTGTGCGTGTGTTTGACAGGTGCAGATGAGTAAATATGGGTTTTTTCCCAGTGTGATTTGTTGCTGTACTGTGTTTTCATTCTCTCTCTCTCTCTCTCATCTCTCTCCTCTCTCCTCTCTCTCCTCTCTCTCTCTCTCTCTCTCTCTCTCTCTCTCTCTCTCTCTCTCTCTCTCTCTCTCTCTCTCTCTCTATCTCTCTCTCTCTCTCATCTCTTCTCTCTCTCTCTCTCTCTCTCTCTCTCTCTCTCTCTCTCTCTCTCTCCAGGGCACTTGAGTTTCCAGGACTGCTTCGTGACGTCAGGCGTGTGGAACGTGGCGGAGCTGGTCCGTGTGTCAGTCACAGAGTAAGTCACATGAGCAGCAGCTTTCTGATCAACTGCCATCATCACTCTTAAATATCAACCTTTCATTACTTTTTTTTTTATAATTGTAAATACTTAAAAAATCATGTTTTTTTCAACAGTAACAGTAATAAACAGCAAAAGCTAAAACACAATAATATATACACACATATATTACAGACAAAAGTTAGACATTTTTTTGAAGTAGGATTCTATGTTAGTGTATTGTAAAAATGTAATTTATTCCTGTGATGAAAGCTGAATTTCCAGCATCATTACTCCAGTCTTCAGTGTCACATGATCCTTCAGAAATCATTCTAATATGATGATTTGCTGCTCAAGAATCTGATGCTCTTATTATCATCAATGTTGAAAACAGTTTTGCTGCTTAAAAGTTTCATGGAAACACTGACCATTTTTTTCATGATTCTTTGATGAATAGAAAGTTCAAAAGAACAGCAATTATTTGAAACTGACAAGGTTTTCATAGAGTAGACTCGCGTCACTGGAGGAGCATGTCATGAGAACAGCGATGAATGATGGGATTGATTTATCTGACTTCTCTCTGTCTGTATCTATTTCAGCACCAGTTGCCACAGCATCCGGACCCAACTTCTCTCTGGCCGACCTTGACAGTCCTGGATACTACAACATCAACCTGGGTCGCCGCTCCATTACGTCCACGCCATCCACCAGGTGCGTGCGCCTTTTTTTTTTTTATTATTCAGTTAAAATAAGAAAAAATTAAATGATTAATAAAATGATAAATGTCATGATTTTTGATCAATCTTTAGAAAACAAAATAAAACAGTAATAATGTAAATTTCTTAATTGTAACATATTTATTTTATTTATTTATTTATATAAGTATTTATTTATTTATTTAGCATTTTTTCCATGGACCCCCTACAATTGTTACAACAATATTAGTTCCCTGAAGTTCTTTTTTTTATATACTTTAAATGAAGAGTTTAAATATTTTTTGGGGGGAAAACATGTCACATTCATGTAAAAATTATTCATTTAATAAAATTCATGCAAATTTAAAATGAATTTAAATTAATTTTGATATATTAATTCAAATTAACTAGAGGGCTAGGATAGATTTTTTAGAATCACATCAGATGTTATGCATAAAATAATTTCAGAATTATAGAGCAAAATGTAGCATTTTTGCCTCAAGCCCTGGTTCATTCCTGACTCTATACTAATAAACTCTCGCATGCTTTAAAACAGCTTTTCCGTCTCTGGTCTAGTAGCTTTAATGCATGTTGGTAGCACTCACACGTTCTTGCTTTCCTCTTTGTCCATATATATTTCTGTCTCTCTTCTCTGCTGCTCTCAGCTTCGTCTGCTCGATTGCTGTCATTGTTGTCTCTTTACCTTTCTCTTCTCCCGTCCCTTCTCTCTCGTCTTGTCGCCATGTTTCAAACGCTGCAGGACTGAGATGGAGTTGTATGCCAGTCTCCCGCGGAGGTACTCCACACTTCCATCTCCGCTGTCTAACTCTATACTGTCTTTGCTCATCTAATGTCTCATTCTGCTAAGTGATCTTACATTGCTGATGATTTTGGGTGGGCTGTAATCTTTAAATGGACATATTTTTCAATTGTAAAATTATTTGTAATTAAAACATTCCCATTTTTAAAACCAGTCAAGAAAAGAAATGGAAATGATATTAAACCAAGTGATATTGCATTTTCAGATGTTACACAACATGCAAGCTTGCGTTAAATGAAATCTTTCTTTCTTTTCTCTTTCAGCTCCAACAAGCGTAAATCCATTGATGACAGTGAGATGGAGAGCCCGGTGGACGATGTCTTCTATTCGGGACGTTCTCCTGCCCCAGGAGCGTCCCAGCCCAGCGGCTGGCCCAATGATGTTGATGCAGGTACAGTCACTTTACCCAGAAGCCCTCTGGCTCTAGTCACACGCTCCACCTGAAAATCCTATACATTTCTTTATATTTGGTGCTGCGCCAATGAGAGTCTACATAGTCAGCGTAGACACCGAAATGATGTTGACGTGAATGAAGACGAGGCTGTGAGGGGCCGGCGAGCTGGACAATTGTCCAACGAAGGCTTATTTATTGTTCTTGTCAAATGAAAAGCCGTCTAGTCTGACAAAGTTTGACAATCGGATCCAATTGGACTAATATCAGTGCATTCACTGAATAAGTGGACACAAGGGCTGTGTGAGGGGCCAGACTTTTCCTTTTATCCATCAACCCATTAATCTCTCTCTCTCTCTCTCTCTCTCTCTCTCTCTCTCTCTCTCTCTCTCTCTCTCTCTCTCTCTCTCTCTCTCTCTCTCTCTCTCTCTCTCTCTCTCTCTCTCTCTCTCTCTTTTTCTCTGTGCCTGCCTAGCATCTTCCTATACTTCTATAGACCACAAGAATAAATAAGATTGGGACAAAAATGCAACATTAGCTGCTTTTCCTCCGTCAGGCCAAACGCTTCTCATTGCTTAACCGCTCCGTTCCGTGCCGATCCGGCCCACTTGGTACGGATATGGTTTCATTTTCCACTCCGAGGCTGATAATGGACCTCTTTTGAATGTAATACAAATGCATCAGTTGTTGCAAGAGTTTACAGGAGATGTGATGTGATATGAACCATGCTCAAGTGAATGTAGAACAGGAACTGGTTCTTATCGTTCTTAGAACCGTTCGGCCTGACGGTGGAAAAGCTGCTATTCATGCAATTGGATTAATTAAAGCATCTCTCTGTTAATGAATCTGTTTTGTTTGGTGCTCAGCTTAATAAGTCTTATAAGCACTTACAATCACCATCTAAATGATAATTCATGTGTGCATGTAATGATCTCATAGAATTAGGGCTGAAAAAATAAAGTTTATATGTAATATTTCCTTATTGACACTAAAACATTAGTGGCTGTAAGCACTAAAAAAAAAATACAAGTTTGATTAGAAATGTTCTTAATTTCTTGTGTAGCTTGTTGTTAGTCATATGTTAGACATGGCATTTAAAAGGTGAATTAACTCACAACAAATATTTTTTTTTAAATTATTTAAAAATATATGTATTCTTACATTTTGTCAGATTTTATCATATAAATGGTAGTTTTACCCTATCAAAATATACTTTTTGATTATTTTTGTTTCCAAGCTTCACCTTTTATAATGTTGCATTTTATTAATTAAGACCTTAAATTGATTTTTTCTGTATCAATTTCTTGTGTTTTTCAAGCATTGATTATCTATTCGAAATATTTACCATGGTAACCACAGTGTCTGGCAGAATATCATGGGATTTGGATTTCATTCAAGCGGTGCAAGAACTCTTTTTTTTCAGTGATGGCTAGTCTAAAATCACCACATAACTGAAGTCATTTTTGTGGAAACTGTGGATACCATGGTATAATTTTGTGTAAGTTTGAAAAGGCAGTTTTGTTGTTGTGTTGCACAGGCAGAGTGTGGGGATGAAATTATTTGAACTTTAATGTCATTTTAGATCGAGCAGTGCTGTTGTGACATGTAGGTCTTTTACCTGTATCCTCACACCAGACCATAAAACATGCACCATTCCCTCAATACATCAAAGCCATAAATAGTCACAAATGTTGCTGTGCTCATGTTAGATTTAATGTTCAAAATACATTGGCTGCACCCCATTTCGCATTCTTGTATCGGGTAGAATTTGCTGAGAAAGCTTCCACGTACGTATGCACACTTCATACATTCATCAGAAACAGATTCAACCATCTACACTAAAAATAAAGGTTCTAAAAGCGATGCCAAGATTCCATGGATTTTAAAGGTTCTTAATGGAACCATAGATGCCAATAAAGAACCTTTATTTTAAAGAGTGTGGACACCTTTGGCATACTATTTTCAGCTTACTATGATTTGAAATGAAGTCGTTTTTATCTTGCATACTAGTTAATATGGAAATTATGTGAGCTGTGATGCAGCCAATGCTCATTTGATGTCCTTAAATGTTCGCTGCTGCTGATTGGACGGTTTGTGGGATGCGTGTGCTTTCACTTCTATTGTTCAAGTGCACCTAGAATGGGTTGAATCTGGGAGATAGTGTGCAATACTGTCTTTGACCTCATGCATATGATGTGTATAGTGCTTATGTATTAATGATGATTCAACATCAGTCCCAAATTCTCTCCATCTGTCCATATGATCTCAATCTCTCTCTCTCTCATTCATTGTTAACTCTATTCTTTTCCCTTGTTTGGGTTTTTCAGTGCAACACCATTTGGCCAGTATGCAGGAGAGGAAGATAAAACACGAATCCGACGGCGTGCAGTTTCCTTACCATGGTTAGACCACATTACCCTCATATTATATATGATTGATGTATATACCACGCACACAAGTGTATGCAAATGTGTCTGTTATCTCTTGTCTCTCTTTCAAACTCTCTGCTGCATCACACACACCTTCTCTCTGATTTTCTGTTGTTCCTGGTGATCTGAGGTGGCGGGGGCTTTGAGGCCTGTGAATGTGCTTTCATTTTGTTTTGTGCATCCATTGCTTGTGTTAGATCCTGAAATAGGATCCCTGTGGATCGAAGCAGAAGTCCAAATCCCGATTTTCACATAACATAAACACTTACAAACGTGGCTATTGTGTTGCATACAACAGCGGGTCTTTCCAGATATTTACTTAGCACTTTTGTTTGTTTCTTCTCCATGCGGGATTTATTTGAATTAGTCTTTGTGCTTAAAGGGGTTTACATGCTATAAGCAATATTTCAGCTGTTTATTCAACGCGCCTATGAGATCTCAAAGCTGTGAGGCCTAAAACATACTCTATACAAGCACGTGAATGCGAACACAAGCTCAATTTCACACATCATTGTGTTCCACAAATTGTTAGAACGCAATTCAAAACACAACACCATGTACTAATAAATAAAGTCTTAAATGAATGTAGGGAGTAGTGAGAAAATGAGACGCGGCAGATCTTAAAGGGACAGCAGCCACTAATGCTGTCTGTCATTAATGTTAATCAAAGAACAAAGGTTTTGATAACTTTATTCAATTTCTGTATATTTCCTACTTGTTAGGCAACTGTAAATATGACATTTTATTATTATTTTATTAAATGTGTATTAAATACAATTATTATCTTATATTTATTATTATTGTGTCATACAGAGACAATTTTTCTCTATCCAATCAATTACCCCAAAACAAAAAACAAGTCCAGCTTTAATTTTTTTCTCGCTGCATATTCTGTTTCACTCTCATGTACATCAGACCGGGCGATTCAGATCGACTTTAATGGCACAGACATTTGAAGGTAACCCTATCACCCCTTTGAGTACGCAAAAACGGATTACGCAGGAGTAGCCACAGTAATGCAAGAATGCGAGCTATGTATGCACAACGGGAACTTGTGCACTTGCACAGAGTATGTTTCTGGCCTGAGGGTCCTCCTTCATCTAATCACATTCACTGCCGCCCACGTCATGATAAACACACAGGCGCACAGATCCTAATCTAGGGAAACATGGGTAAATCCCACCAAAAAAAGCCAGCATGCTCAGGTGCTCCTGATGTCATGGGAATACACAACACACATACACACACACACACACCAGAGCTCTAGTCCAGATGGCTCCACAATGTGTCGACAGCATTGGGAGCTGCTGGGTTACAGAAGACATCTGTTACGCCAATGATGGCGGTGGTGGCGCTCCGAGCGCGTGCGAGTGTGTGAGGGTGTGAACTGCGCTACGCTTCAAAGGTGATTCACTACCTGAATGAGGCTTTGGCAACTCTGCAAGGTGACGGTGTCATTTATCATTAAATCTGGCGTCGCCCGGGGTACACGAGCCGTCTGTGAACCCATTCACACGCCGGATCGCTTCCTCGTGCCCTGGGCTGACACGGATATCATCTCCTCCTATTTTTCATTCTCTCGCACTCGCTTTCACCTTGTTAGACTGTGGCGCTTTGTCTGTAAACATCTGTTTGTGACGGTTTCAAGAGGTCAGACAGTGAACGGGGTTCACACGGGCATGAGAGACCTAGAAATTCATGAAAAATGGGAGGCCTAGAAGAATTAGGCAAACACTTGGACATTTCTGTGGTGGTTATAACATTTTTAAATGCCTTGAAATGTTTAATTTCATGACTAAAAATATTTTAGAAAAATCAACCGACTGCAGAAGTCATGGAAATTTCTATTTTGAATACAACATGATTTTTATTGAATGCTTTAAAATATTTAAATGAGTGTAAAATGGCTGTTAAATTAATTAAAATAAATCATCTGAAAAACTCATAAATTCAAAAGTGAATATATAATGGTTTTATTAAATGATTTTTTTTGTCTTTTTTTTGTTAATATACAATTATTTTTAAAAATTGATTGACTGAAAAACCCATAATTTCTATAGTGAATGTACAATGATTATATTAAATGTTTTAAAATATTTAATTTGCAAGTAATTGGTATTTTTGGTGTAAAATTATTTTTTAAAAATCAAGACTAAAATGAGCAATAATTTCTATATGCCATTTTTGAAGTAAATGCTTCAAAATATTTAATTTGCTATTTTATTGGCAAGTGTAAAATAAATGTGAAATTATTATTATTTTTAAAATCACTCAACCCTGTGTGTATTATTGCTGTAAATTTCATGGTAGAAGGGATTTGTACTTGGGTTTGTGACTTTCTGTTTGTGTTTGTAGAAGTGGGACTTTCTGATGGTTGGACGGTGAATGTGTGTGTGTGTTCAAGTGTTTGAGGAGGCGTTATATATGGCGTTTTTGACAGGTCAAGGTTTGTTTGGTGGCCAGCTTGTTAGCGTGGCGAGACTGGAAGGTCACGGGAGCGTTTGATTGGCTGCCAGTCTGCCTGAGTGTCGCGGCTGGCACAACTCAGAGCAATAACACACACACACACATGCAGGCTAATGTGCATGAATGCAGGAAAAGGAAGATCATAGAAACTGTCAGCTGTAACTATGAAGGAGTTTCGGAGATTTTCAGCAGAGATGCTTGTTTTTAGATATTGCCGCAACCTTACTTATATTATTCTATTAATACCTTGCACTATAATTTGCAGTTTCCATCTTGTTTGTAATAATAGTATTATTATGTTTTAGAAAAATCGAATTGTTTTTGTTTGCATTGGGGATTAGAAATTAATGTTTTTGACAATTTTATCTTTATTTACAATAGTATTAATGTGGATTAATTTTGTTTGTTTGTATATATAATTATTCTGAATATATATATATATATATATATATATATATATTCGGTAGAACAGAGTTTATCTGAAGTTCCCTGAGAAAAATGACAAAATCTGTTTGTTAGACAATTACCCCTTCTTGACAAGATACAGCTTGACTCGTTCGTTTCGCTCTCCCACAATAACTCAAGATAGATAGCATAATAATGATTTATCTTGTGGTTTTGTGAGTGTTTGTTTAAAACATAACAAATGCTCAGTGATCTTGTGTGAATGTCACACTTTGTTGGATTGTGCAACACAAACTCTCTCAGCAGACAATGTTGCTTTTAAACCACCAATGAAATTTGACCGTCCTTTTTAATTAAAGCACACTAAGACATTTATTTTCTCAATTATATGCAATTTGCAATTCATTTTTCTATAGTTATTTTTGATAATAGATTTGACAGTATGCTTCAAAAATATAATTTGTCTGTCTTTGATTTTTTTAAAGTTACTTTTTTGTTTGTTTTTATATATTACAGGGAGGCAGAGATCCATTCGAATGTGGCATTAGCATAATTCGCAGATTTGTGGCTTCCTTAAACGGCTCCTTAACATCTTAAATTGGGTTTTTAAAGCACCACTTCTAATAATTGTTTCCCTCGAAACCAGCCAGAGGATTTGATGGTAAACTCCTTTTCCTCTCCTTCCCGAGTCCTGACATGTTTGGCCGTGTTTCTGGGTCACTGGGTGAGCGTTTATGCCAAACTCAGGGCAGCTCAAGCTAGAAGCCCTGCGGCCTCGGTTTGACATTTATAGGATCAGGATGACACATTAATACGACGTTATATACGAGGAGACCAAACCATCACATACTTTCTCCTTTCATTTCCCTCATCATTCTCACATCATGCTTCCCGCCTGTCCTCCTCTTTTTGGCATGAGCGTTCGGACCTGCCACTGGAACAGAACCGCTTGTGTTTTACTTTTTCCCTCAGCGCTGAAAAGTCAAGCGAAAGCCTCTGATTTGGTTCCCCAGGTGACTTTAGGGTGTTTTTATGTCAGAGTCTGTAAACAGTTTGTATTTACGTTTATTTACTCATTTGCATTTGGTTTGTGAAAGCATGTCGTTCTGTTCGGTGGGCATTACTAATGCGGTTGCTCGGGTGTATTGGAATTTTAAAGTTATTCTGAACACAGATACACATAAATATCATTACTCCAGTCTTCAGTGTCACATGATCCTTCTGAAATCATTCTAATATGATGATTTGCCCAAACTTTTGAATGGTAGAGTATGTTTTGATATATTACTAGTAATTTGTGAATCTGTTTTTTCTTTTATTATCCTTGGAAACTGACGTCGCTGTAAAAGCTGTGAGAAATGGTGGCAAAATATTGACATTGATGTTTTGACTACTCTTTCCTTTGAGATTTGGAGACTGAAAGAGACAGACAGACATGAGTTATTATGGGATCTGCTGTCGTGGCATCTATTTTCCCCCTTACAGCTGCATAGAGACCCTTCCCGGCCCTGTCCCGACCCTATCCCACTCTTTCCTGCACTCCAATGCTTAAAAGCAAAGCTCGCACACTGGACCTGTTCGCACTGCAAAAAAAAAAAAAGCATTATTTAATACAATTTCAATATAATTATGCAATTATTGAATCAAATTAATTTGACATGTGTTAATCCTTATTACAATGTTATTTAAATTAATGAAATTTATGTTTAAAATATATTTTTAACATTCTTTAGAAATTTGACTGTGTGTAAAGAAAAATTAATTTATTTTGCTTTTTATTTGTTGATTTTTCTTACCTCATTGGCAAATATATATATATTTCTTTCTAAAGAAGTTTTTACTGGGGAAATAGACAACACATATATTGATTAATATTATTATTTATTTATTTATTTTTGCAGTGTGACTGGCTTCTCTATAATTCACAGCAAACAAACTAAAAAACTAGCAGTGTCTTATATCTGTTGATTAAAAGACATTTGTTAGTATTATTATCAGCAAATTTGTAGCATTTTAGAAGCTGAGATAAGATTTTTCTTTTTTTAGATAAAGATCAAGAAGCAAAACCCTGTTTAATTAAATCCACATCTCTGTTCTGCCATTTTGTTGATCCCATTTTTACCAGGACTCTCTTCGCCTGGTTCTCTTAAGAAGTCGGGGAAATTCGATTTCAGCGCTCTGTCCGGCCATACGAGGTCTGCACGCATGCCGTTCACCCATCACCCGCTGCCCATGCTGGCAGGTGTAAGACCAGGTGAGAGTTCAGAGCCCCCCTCACCCCACCTCCCACATCCTTCCCCTTCCTGTCCTGCTCCCTCGCGCCCCCCGGTGGGGTCGGATGTGGTGAAGTTCGGGGAGAGGCGAGGTCGTGTTTACACCACGGTCAGGTCGGGTGAAGGCGTTCGCCATTCGTCCCCCCCACCCTTTTTCTCCTCTGTACCGAGGCTGATTTGTCTTCTTTTTTTTTTTGTCTGTCTGTCCATCAATGTGATTGGTTGGTGGTTGGTCTCTTCATTTCCCGACTTCATTTTCGCCCCGCTAAATGCACATGAGCTTGTAAGATATCATTTAAATGCAGTGATCAAAGTACGTATCCACTCTGTACAATTTTAACTGCTGTACAAGACTCACAGGATTAGAAAACCAAAATTTGGTTTAGATGTTCTGAAGTATTTTGTCATCTATTATCGATTAAACAAGATGGAAGAGAAGGAAAAAATTGTAAATGGGCCAAAACTTGGACTTAAAATTAGGACAATCTTGCCATCAAATCATTGGCGTATGTAGATGTTTTTTGATAGACAGACAGACAGGGAGATTAATAGACAGACAGGCAGATAGATATACATATAGACAGACAGACAGACACACACACAGACAAATAAACAGACAAACAAACAGAGTTAGACAGATAGATATGAAATCAAATCTGGATAAACCCCCACTCCTGCTAGGAGAAAGCCCAGCGAGCTCAAACCCGGCTGTTAGGTGTGTGTGTGAGGTCCTGTCACGACGAAAGAGCCTCCAGCAGGACAGAGCCACCAACACACTCACTATACGCCTAGAGACACTGATATAAATATTAGAAGATTAAATATTTTTATTGCTATGTTTATTTTCATGTAAAATTTGTATTTTTTTGTAATTATTATCGTTATTTTTTTTATTTTTATTTTATTAATTTATTTGTATTGTATAGTGTTATTAATGCTTTGGAAATGTAAAGATTTATTTCACCATGCCAATAAAGCTATTTGAATCTTTGAATCAGACAGACAGACAAATGTCAAATAGATAGACAGATGGATGAAAGGATGAATGGATGAATGGATAGATAGATAGATAGATAGATAGATAGATAGATAGATAGATAGACAGATAGACAGACAGATAGATAGATAGATAGATAGATAGATAGATAGATAGATAGATAGATAGATAGATAGATAGATAGATAGATAGATAGATGGATGGATGGATGGATGGATGGATGGATGGATGGATGGATGGATGGATGGATGGATATAGATAGATAGATAGATGGATGGATGGATGGATGGATGGATGGATGGATGGATGGATGGATGGATGGACGGACGGACGGACGGACAGACAGACAGATATTGAGACACGGATAGATGGATGGATGGATAGACACAGATGGAGGGATGGATGGATGGATGGATGGATAGATAGACAGATAGACAGACAGACAGACAGACAGACAGTGAGACACACAGATAGAAAGATGGATGGATAGACACAGACAGATAGATAGACCTACGGACGGACGGATTGATAGATAGATAGACAGATAGTTAGACAGAGAGACTAACAGACAGTTAGATAGATGGATATAGGGATAGATAGATAGATAGATGGATAGATGGATAGATGGATAGATAGATAGATAGATAGATAGATAGATAGATAGATAGATAGATAGATAGATAGATAGATAGATAGATAGATGGATAGAGAGATAGATGGATAGATAGAGAGATAGATGGATAGAGAGATAGATAGAGAGATAGAGAGATAGATAGATCTCTATGTTTATGTTTGTTTGTTTCAGTTGTTTTTTTTATGTAGCGTTGTATACATTAGGATTGAGTCGTAGCCTTATGCTAGCGATGCCCTCTTGTGTGGCCATGTGTTGTTTTGTGTAGCGCGGTTGAGTTTAGAGCTGTTGTTGTGTAGTCACTCCATGTGGGACGGGGTCTTTGGTGGTGGTAGTTTGTGGTGCCATTTGCCTCCTCCTTGAAGCCTTGGCTCCATCCCATTCCCTAATGGGATTAAAGGGTGGATGATGAAAGAGCGAAAGAAACGGAGGAAGAAGAGGGAATAGCAGTCTGCACAGCAGAGAGGGTGAAAGCAGGGCTTTGCCTGGGAGCGAGGCGCCCGCGTCTGGGTTACAGGGAGGCTCTGGATGTTGGCAGACTGTCCCGGGCAGCTGGGGTCCCGTTTGGCTGGAGGAGACGAGACCCCTCACCCTTCCACTCGCCAGTCGCACTGTTACTCTTCATGCAAATGAGAGCGTGTCATGACTTACCAACAACTACTGCAATTTTTTCACATTAGGCTTGTGCTGATACTTATTTTCTTTTCTCATGCAACTTAATTTAGGATCCTTGTACCAATGTTTTATTAATTTATGTGCCTTCATACCATTTCCTACTATCCAATTAACGAAGAAGGAGGTCATCTAAAAATCTGGAAGTGATATTTCACAGTGCGCCTCTATGAGGTGCCGTATTGGACAGAGTTAAAGCAATAACCAAAAATTCACGCAGTCTCTCTTACATGTTTGTGGCAGATAGACAGACGGATAGTTTGGGGGCTTTCTTGGCAATTAAAAATTGATACATCATCTGTGACGAAATCTTATGTTAAAATAAAGGCAATTAAGAGGCTTTTCACTTGGATAGCGTGTTTGTGTGTCTGCATAATAATTTTGAGTTTCTGAGAGAGGTTAAAATTGAGTGTGAGAAAGAAAGAGAATTTTTGAATTTTAATCGGCAGCACAGTGTTCAATTCAGTGTGATCACTTTGATTCATACAGCAATGATCTGACACACACACACACACACATTTATTTCATGTGTACCGGTATTGTTTTTATATAAAGCTTACTGATGTCTAAAGAATACAAGCTTTAACCCAAGTCCTTAACCCAACTGGAAGAAACTTTTATGCATTTTGGGATTTAAGAATGGGATTATATAATGATATATGTTTCATATATATTTATATATTTCTGAATCATTTTTACCTATCAAGACACCGCCTGGGATCCTAAGGGAAGTTTTGTCTGATTTAGGTCTGTTCTGGGAACAGTTTGTCACCAATTATAGTAAACACACACACACCATTTTTCCTGAACTGCTTTCCATCACTTCCATCTCATGTCATCTGTTGTATCCTTGTGTGTCAGTCTTGCTTGGACTCATTATTAATACACTACTGTACTTGTATATTATCTGTTACTAACCTCTCTCTTTGTGTGTGTGTGTGTCCGTCAGCAGGAAGTCCCCGTGCCTCAGCTTCTTCCCTGCACTTCCCCTCGCCATCCATCATCCAGCAGTCCAGCCCGTATTTCACCCATCCCACCATCCGATACCACCACCACCCGGGACAGGACCCGCTCAAGGAGTTTGTGCAGTTTGTGTGCGCCGACGGATCAGGACAGGCTAGCGGTCAGGTAAGAGGAAATGACCTCATACAGGAAGTGTTGGTGTGAATTTAACTCATTATGCAGCTGTTCTCTGAATAAACACACACTGGTTTAATAGTGAATATTGGGAATGCCGTCCTACAGTATCATACTATTTTTGCAGCATGTATACTGTGAACCGTATGCAAATTTTCTGTTTGCATAAAATAGCCAGTATACATTATACAAGGGAGAAGAACGCATGAAATACTCTATCCCACGATGCAATGTGTTCAACTGGATCTTTTAGGACACTTTATACTAATACTCCATTTTGAACGCAGCCATTGTCACAATCCACTGTATAAAACATGTATCATTGCTTACTGCATATTGTTTCACATACTGTTTGTTAAAATATTTGGAAATATAGAGTATATAATGTGCAGTATTCAATTGTTTAATGAGAAGACATTTCATCCTTCCAAACCAAATGTTGATGAAACAGAACTTAGTTTTCATATTAAGCAAAAATACTTGCCTCATTAATTGATATTGGATGTATTTTCTCTGTGAAACTAACGTTATCAAGCATTTAAAGTAATGTTGGTTAAACTGAGCTTGTGAAGACACAGGGCTCCAGACAAAAAAAATCTATTAAGGACCCTTTGGCTCCTATAAGGGAAAAAATTAGGCGCAAAAAAAAAAAAAAATTTAAGTGCCACAAAAGAATAAACCTATTGTAATTTTGTCATGTGTTGTCACGTCTGCCCTCCTTTTACAGCATCAGCATTTTCATCCATCTTGTGGATGTCCTGGGAACTAAGATTCACTTTAAGTAGGAACTGAATTGTTTTTCCAACTTGAGAACTACAAAGAATCGTTCTTTACACAGAATCTGAACCAGTCACAGACCATAATAATGTCAGCATCATTTGGCCATTGAGTATAGTTTGGCCTCCTCCGTCCTAATGCATCCTATAAACATTGTCGTATGTCTTGCACAAACCCAATCTTTTTCTTCATGAGTAATGTCTGAGGTAAATTTGGTGAAAGGCAGCTCTTCATATGAAATTATACAGTCTGTGTTGAATTTCATTTTTAGCTCCTTACATTCTTTCTTATGTAGACAACAGGTTAAGTAAAAATATAAGGATTATGTGTGATATAGTGCATATATTTAGCAAAATGCCCTTTTCTATAGTTATTTTTCTTGCTGAGTTCTGAGTTTGAGTTTTGAATGGCTTTTCTGAGGTAAATTTGACGTTACGTGACATGATTGTTCTCAAGCTGTTTTATACAAGCTCTTTCCAAGGTCGAAATGCTGATTGAGTGATCTGTCTGTCAGGCCACATTAAAAAGCCCCAAAACAACATTTATTGCTTGTATTTCGTGACAAAATTGACAGAATTTGAAAGCTGAAAGTTTGTTAATTGTTTACTAAAATTAACAAACACAAATCTTACTGCGATTATGGATGGCTGCATACCGAAGTTCAGGCAGTAACCCGAAAACAGCAAAGATGAAAAGATATTGAGAATAAGAATCCATATCAGTATCAATTAAAAACAAGAATTGTTAACAATTAGTTTGTGTGCACACAGCTGACATGTTTATCTGTAGTAGTTTATCCACGAAATTGACGCTGCCTTCCTGAATTTTTACTGTACTTGCATGGTTCAGTCATTGACATGTTTCCGTCGTTTTCTCTCTCACAGCTGTCAGTGTTGTTGCTCGATAGAGATGAGGGCTTTAAAAAGGCTGATGTTTTTCGTTTTGACATTTGTTTCTGAGGCGGAAAGATGATCCTTGCTGTCCCTGTGCGTATTTTGCCGCTCGAACTCAGTAAGGTTTTTTTTCACTTCAACTTTGCTGCGTGTCATCTCATTTTATTACGACAACACAACAAAAGATGTGATGGATCACTGAACATGCAGGTCAAAAGGCTTGCATTTTTTAACCATAACATGTACGTTTATATTGTCGCCAGTCTGGAGCCCTGAGACATCTGTCGCAATTAACAGACCAGCTAAGATTGACGTTTGCTGTTAGCAAGCATCTAAAAACGTTTTAAATAATGCACAAATGTATATAATCGATGTACTTTTTTTACTATATACACTAGGGGTGGAACGGTACATGTATTCGTATTGAACCGAAACGGTACGGGCGTCACGGTTCGGTGCACGAATTTGCACGGAGAATACACGGTACAAAAAAAAAAAAAAACTCTTAAATAGCGATAAATTTCGCTCTATTCGCTTTTAGTGTGACTGTGAACGCAGCAATGAACAGGCTGCGATCAAGATTGCAATGCTGGAGTGTGTGTGTGCGCGCGCGAGAGAGAGAGTCGCGATGAACAGTGTGTGTGTGTGTGTGCGAGAGAGAGAGAGAGAGACACGATGAACAGTGTGTGTGTGTGCGAGAGAGAGAGGCGCGATGAACAGTGTGTGTGTGTGTGTGTGCGAGAGAGAGAGAGAGAGGCACGATGAACAGTGTGTGTGTGTGTGTGTGCGAGAGAGAGAGAGAGAGGCACGATGAACAGTGTGTGTGTGCGAGAGAGAGAGGCGCGGGCGCGAATCGCGCGATCGAACAGTGTGAGAGAGAGAGAGAGGCAAGAGCGACCGAACAGTGGAAACATAAAAACATACTCCGTCATTTTTTTCATACAGGACATCATTAAAACGGCAAATTGTTTACTTTTATTTGTGTACACTCACAATAAAACACAACATTGTGCTTTTGTCACACTCTAAACTCTTGTCAAACTGTAACCTACAACAGTTAACAAAAGTTTTTAATGGTAGTATTATTTTATACGGAAATCAATTATTTATAATTCAGATGAGAATAAAGTTAGGGTTAATTAAAATGAAGGAAAACAAATAGCCTATATTGATCTGAAATAGTAAATTAATTTTAAATTCATTCAGGTACAATTACCAAACATATCTCAAGGTCTTTTCGTCTTTTTAATAATTTAATTAATAAACTAATGATATAAAACTACTGTCAGTGCACTACAAATAAACTGGTTCTCTGCCTTTATTAATAAAACTTATTTAAAAAAATACAAGGCTTAAGACATTTATAAAAAAAGCCTTCTGCATTTTTGTTTTGCTTTTCCCTCCATTGTACCGAAATCATACCGAACCGTGACGTCTGAACCGAGGTATGAACCGAACCGTGACTTCTGTGTACCGTTCCACCCCTAATATACACACAGTAACTGCATACTGTCTTTTCCGATGGAAACAAAAGTGTGCGTTCCTTCCTTGTCTTTGAGGCCGACTAATCGGTCACTGTTATGTATCTTGTGCTTGTCTAGACAATCTTGAGTTAATCTCTCCTTCTCTGTCCACTTCCACGTTAAAACCCATCTGCGCAACAGCTGACGACCTCTGCGCATTACAGCGTAGCGCATTCCCTCCTCAGTTCTGCTTCTGCCATTTTCAGCGTTTTGAACGTGGCTTTTTTTTTTATGCGCCCTGATTTTTATTTGGAATCATTCCATGGACCAAAGCTCACCTCACCATTCGTGCGCCCATTTCTTCTTCTTACTCACCTTCTACCTAAAGTCCTCCATTTTTGTTTTTTTTCCAGCTCCTCCACTGCTCCTGTCTATGCCTGTGGTGAAGTCGACACACAAACACGCACACAAACACACCCTTTCATAAACAAAAGCAAACAGACATTCACCATCCTTTTGGTTGTTTCCCTCTCAACTCTTTCCACTACCAGCCACCCGCCATTCCTTTTTATTTTTTTTATTTTTTTAAGCGAGTCTGCGTTGTTTTTTCCATTTGTGGGGTGTCGGGCGTGTCCGTACTCCTCACCCTGTTTGTGTCGTCTGCAGCCGAACGGGAGCGGCCAGAGCAAAATGCCGGGCTCCTTCTTGCTGCCTCCACCCCCCCCTGTGGCGCGTCCAGTGCCCCTCCCAATGCCAGACTCTAAACCCAGCAGCACGCCCCCCGATGGCGGACTCACCTCACCCACATCTCCGTGTAAGTGACCCGACCCCCCCCATTCCACCAAACCCCTCGAAGGCTGGAAGAAAGCCAGTCGTCTGGCCACAGCTGGGCCGATTTTTGCCATCTAGTTTGTGTTTCTTGAGTTAACATCTACTGCCCATTATTTGTAACTATCGTGGTAGCACTAACTGTTGGGTCAGAACTAGTCCTTACTACTTTTATTTTATTTTTTTCAATCTGAATGAAACCAATGCAATTTTCGTGCAGGCCTTTTTTTATGCATCCTAAATTTCAGGCATCAATTTTAGTGGTTTAACCCATCAAAATGTTTTGTACGGAGACCATAAAGAGAATAATGACGGGATAAAAATTAGTTGGGAGGAAAAATATATTTCAATGGTTGCAAACTTTTGCATTCACTCTAAAAACTTGCATTCTCTCACAAAACTTTTACGAGCATTTGCCCTGATAAACTTTGCATTTGATCACAAAACTCTCCCTTGAGAAACTGCGTTCTCTCGCAAAACTTTGCGTTCCCCTGAAAAACATTTCGTTCCCCTGAAAAATATTTCCTTCGATCACAAAACTCCCCCAAAAAACTGCTATCTCTTTCAAAATGTTTGCGTTCCCCTGAGAAACTTTGCATTCAATCACAAAACTCTCCCCCAAAAAACAGTTCTCTCACAAGATGTTTGCGTTCCCCTGAGAAACTTTGCATTGAATCACAAAACTCTCCCCTGAGGAACTGCGTTCTCACAAAATGCTTGCGTTCCCCTGAGAAACTATTCATTTGATCACAAAACTCTCCCCCAAAAAACTGCGTTCTCTCGCAAAACTTTTGCGTTCCCCTTAGAAAATTTTCGTTCGATCACAAAACTCTCCCTTGAGAAACCGCGTTCTCTTGCAAAACTTTTGCGTTCCCCTGAGAAACTTTTCGTTCAATCACAAAACTCTCCCACGAGAAACTGCGTTCAATCGCAAAACTTTTGCGTTCTCCTGAGAAACTTTTCGTTCGATCACAAAACTCTCCCCCATAAAACTGGGTTCAATCGCAAAACTTTAGCGTTCCCCTGAGAAACTTTTCGTTCGATCACAAAACTCTCCCCCGAGAAACTGCTTTCTCTTGCAAAACTTTTGCGTTCCCCTGAGAAACTTTTCATTCGATCAAAAAACTCTCCCCCAAAAAACTGGGTTCAATCGCAAAACTTTTGCGTTCCCCTGAGAAACTTTTCATTCGATCACAAAACTCTCCCTTGAGAAACTGCGTACTCTTGCAAAACTTTTGCGTTCCCCTGAGAAACTTTTCATTCGATCACAAAACTCTCCCTTGAGAAACTGCGTACTCTTGCAAAACTTTTGCGTTCCCCTGAGAAACTTTTCATTCGATCAAAAAACTCTCCCCCAAAAAACTGGGTTCAATCTAGGGGTGGGAATCTTTTACCATCTCACGATTCAATTCGATTCCGATTCTTGAGCCCACGATTCGATTCAAAATCGATTTTCGATTCAAAAAGATTTTCGATTTAAAACTATTCGATTTTATCCATAATGATTTATAATCGGGTTTCTGATCATGATCTCCTCTCATCTGCTTTGCTATACAGAATGACAAACGGAGACCAGTGTCCTCTAGGATTTTTTCCAGCTGTGGTGGCAGGCCCATTTCGCCAGGGGGAGGGGGCGTGGCCCATGAGTGATATTGCCATTGGCCATGCCCCCTTACCCCAGGTGTTTAAACCTCCCCTAAGTATTATAACATTATAACATGAAAGGCTCGAATAAGAGCGGCAAAGCGATTATGCGCATCCCGTGCGCAGAATGATGCACTTGAAGCAACGCGAAGTCACAGCGCGCAGCGCTCCGGATTGAAAAGTTCAAAGCACAAAGCGAAGAGATTATATCTGTCTATCTATGCTTAATGTATTATATATTTGCAACAGTTTATTGAGCATTTTCTTTTAAAAGTTTTAAATTTCAGTTACAGTGCGGATGAAGAACAATTCATAGCGCTCTCCAGTGCTGTAATCTAACAGACACCCGGGAGAAAGGATTATGATTTAAAAAACGCTATAACGCGACGCGCTGTGTGAATGCTGAATGGAGAATGACTGAGGAGAGATGAGTTTCCATTAACTTTAACTAACGACTTAAATATTAATTTTTACCTCACATTATGCTATTGAATGACTTTAGAAGTCTTGGAATATGTGCGAACACTTTATGGTGCTTCACAATGTTTTTTATGCCTTAGCTTAACAATAACACTAGTATGCACATTAATATCGGACCTCACTGAGAAGCTGCAGCCGTGGCGGGATTATTTTAGGTGTGGCGGCCGGCCACGGCAGATGAATGTAGAAGCATCATATTTAGAAGCATCAGAAGCTCTATAAAAGCATCCATATTTGCTTCCTCTCATTTGCCGCTCACGTTCAAAAACCGGCTGCGTGCATGACGTCCGGACGTCCCGTATAGGCTATAGTTACAAAAATGGAGGCGAACAGCCAGCTGATTTTATTTATTTATTAAATCGATTCTTGGACATTTCAGATCGATTCTGAATCGTTGCAAATGAGAATCTAGATTCTTCTGTGAATCGATTTTTTGGCACACCCCTAGTTCAATCGCAAAACTTTTTTGTTCCCCTGAGAAACTTTTCATTCGATCACAAAACTCTCCCCCGAGAAACTGCTTTCTCTTGCAAAACTTTTGCGTTCCCCTGAGAAACTTTTCATTCGATCAAAAAACTCTCCCCCAAAAAACTGGGTTCAATCGCAAAACTTTTTTGTTCCCCTGAGAAACTTTTCATTCGATCACAAAACTCTCCCTTGAGAAACTGCGTACTCTTGCAAAACTTTTGCGTTCCCCTGAGAAACTTTTCATTCGATCACAAAACTCTCCCTTGAGAAACTGCGTACTCTTGCAAAACTTTTGCGTTCCCCTGAGAAACTTTTCATTCGATCACAAAACTCTCCCTTGAGAAACTGCGTACTCTTGCAAAACTTTTGCGTTCCCCTGAGAAACTTTTCGTTCGATCACAAAACTCCCTCCCGAGAAACTGCGTTCAATCGCAAAACTTTTGCGTTCCCCTGAGAAACTTTTCGTTCGATCACAAAACTCTCCCCCAAAACATTGCGTTCAATCGCAAAACTTTTGCGTTCCCCTGAGAAACTTTTCGTTCGGTCACAAAACTCTCCCCCATAAAACTGTTATCTCGCAAAATTGTTTTGTTCCCCTGAGAAACTTTTCGTTCGATCACAAAACTCTCCCCCGAGAAACTGCGTTCAATCGCAAAACTTTTGCGTTCCCCTGAGAAACTTTTCGTTCGATCACAAAACTCTCCCCCAAAACATTGCGTTCAATCGCAAAACTTTTGCGTTCCCCTGAGAAACTTTTCGTTCGGTCACAAAACTCTCCCCCATAAAACTGTTATCTCGCAAAATTGTTTTGTTCCCCTGAGAAACTTTTCGTTCGATCACAAAACTCTCCCTTGAGAAACTGCGTTCTCTTGCAAAACTTTTGCGTTCCCCTGAGAAACTTTTCGTTCGATCACAAAACTCTCCCCCAAAACATTGCGTTCAATCGCAAAACTTTTGCGTTCCCCTGAGAAACTTTTCGTTCGGTCACAAAACTCTCCCCCATAAAACTGTTATCTCGCAAATTTTTTTGTTCCCCTGAGAAACTTTTCGTTCGATCACAAAACTCTCCCTTGAGAAACTGCGTTCTCTTGCAAAACTTTTGCGTTCCCCTGAGAAACTTTTCGTTCGATCACAAAACTCTCCCCCGAGAAACTGCGTTCAATCGCAAAACTTTTGCGTTCCCCTGAGAAACTTTTCGTTCGGTCACAAAACTCTCCCCCATAAAACTGTTATCTCGCAAATTTTTTTTGTTCCCCTGAGAAACTTTTCGTTCGATCACAAAACTCTCCCTTGAGAAACTGCGTTCTCTTGCAAAACTTTTTTGTTCCCCTGAGAAACTTTTCGTTCGATCACAAAACTCTCCCCCAAAAAACTGTTATCTCGCAAAAAAAATTTGTTCCCCTGAGAAAATTTTCGTTTGATCACAAAACTCTTCCACAAAAAAAACCTGCATTCTCTCAAAAAAGTTTGCGTTCCCCTGAGAAACTTTTCGTTCGATCACAAAACTCTCCCTTGAGAAACTGCGTTCTCTTGCAAAACTTTTTTGTTCCCCTGAGAAACTTTTCGTTCGATCACAGAACTCTTCCTTGAGAAACTGCGTTCTCTTGCAAAAACTTTTGCGTTCCCCTGAGAAACTTTTCGTTCGATCACAAAACTCTCCCCCAAAACATTGCGTTCAATCGCAAAACTTTTGCGTTCCCCTGAGAAACTTTTCGTTCGATCACAAAACTCTCCCCCAAAAAACTGTTATCTCGCAAAAAAAATTTGTTCCCCTGAGAAAATTTTCGTTTGATCACAAAACTCTTCCACAAAAAAAACCTGCATTCTCGCAAAAAAGTTTGCGTTCCCCTGAGAAACTTTTCGTTCGATCACAAAACTCTCCCTTGAGAAACTGCGTTCTCTTGCAAAACTTTTGCGTTCCCCTGAGAAACTTTTCGTTCGATCACAGAACTCTTCCTTGAGAAACTGCGTTCTCTTGCAAAAACTTTTGCGTTCCCCTGAGAAACTTTTCGTTCGATCACAAAACTCTCCCCCAAAACATTGCGTTCAATCGCAAAACTTTTGCGTTCCCCTGAGAAACTTTTCGTTCGATCACAAAACTCTCCCCCAAAAAACTGTTATCTCGCAAATTTTTTTTGTTCCCCTGAGAAACTTTTCGTTCGATCACAAAACTCTCCCTTGAGAAACTGCGTTCTCTTGCAAAACTTTTTTGTTCCCCTGAGAAACTTTTCGTTCGATCACAAAACTCTTCCACAAAAAAAAACTGCATTCTCTCAAAAAACGTTTGCGTTCCCCTGAGAAACTTTTCTTTCGATCACAAAACTCTCCCTTGAGAAACTGCATTCTCTTCAAAAACTCTTGCGTTCCCCTGAGAAACTTTGCAAATGCTCGTAAAAACTTTGTTTTCTTCGAAGAAACTTTGTTCACTTTCAAAAACCTTTGTATTCTCTGGCAAAACTCTAGTGTCGTCCTGAGACTCTTTGCATTTGCTCCCTTTTGTGATGAAAATAATATGAAGTGGGAGGAAAAACTATAATTCAGTGCTTTTGCAAGCGAATGCAAAGGTTCTTGGGGGAAAAGCAATTATTTTACTAGAGAATGCAAAAACGCTCAACTATAGTTTTTTTTCTCCCATCTCATATTTTTCCCTTCCAATGTCCCCTTAGGGCCTCCGTACTGAAAGGTGCAAATTTAGGGCAGTAAAAGTGGACTCAAAAATAATTTTATGCATTTTCGTCCAAACAATTGTCGCTGACTATTACTTGTGCTGACACACATTACTTGTGTAATGCAGCCTTTGATTATTGGACAGTGCTGGCATGAAAATCAAAACAACATAGAAGAGTGTGTATCCACCCGACTTAAAAGACCAGCTTAGACCATCTTGAACTTTCATTTTGGTCCAGGTTGGTTTGTGCTGGTCAGTGTGTTGAAGAGCCTTTACACTCCAAAAAGCAACATCCAGTTTGAGTCGATTGTGAGACACGGGGAACCCATGCTTTGTAATTTTACGTTGGTTTGATTTGAGTTTGTTTTGGTTACATTCACATTGCTGGTTAGCTTTTTGGCTTGTGGAAATGTGATAGTTGAGCTCCAGTGCTTGTCTAAAGGTCAGTTTGTCCCGTACTCAAACCAAATTTAGGCCGTTCAGAAAGGAGGTGGCGTATCGGGGTGGAGAATCAGACAAAAAATGTTCACTCACCACAGACGGGGCACTGGACGGAGCACTTGCATTTCTTTTCCTCTTTTCTTTCATGTTTCTTATTTTTCCTTCCGTTTCATTTTTATTTTTATTTTTTTGGGCTCCATTGTTTTTTTTATGTTGTTTGTGTGTGTTGTCTTTTTATGTGTTTATATGTTGCTGATTCTCCAGAATGCACTTACCACAACCTGCTTACAAATATATAGAACGGTTATTTACTTGTGTTAAAGCATTAAGCATATAGTGGTCATGCATTACAATAAGTTTACCACGGTTAACGGGGATTGTTAAGGGTAAATTTACAAAATGAGTGGCCTAAAACCCCCTTAGCAATTGAAAAATACACATGGCCTCTTGTGGCAAAGTTTGTAGTTACACAGATTAAAAAGGATTTGGTTTCTTTTAGCAAGGTAAATCCTATTCATTTAGTGCTTAGCTTAACATGTAACCTCCAAGTTGTGTATTAAATTATGCCTCTCATTAAACAAATATCAATAGGTATCTAACAAACAAATAGGTATCTAATTGCAATAATAATAATTATTTTTTAATTAATAAAGCAGCATTTCATATCTTTTTGAATGTTTGCTAATGAAAGCGCTAACAGCAACAAATATGGCTCTTTGTCTTTGATTTTTTTTCTTCTTGTTTTAGATCTCCATATTTGATGAACGGTTACTCAGAGTCCATCAAAAATTCGAAACCCCAAACTGCCCTAAATTTGATAATGACTTCAAACCTGCAGATTTAAATTCCATTTTAATCGATTGATCTTCACCTGTGTGAACCAATGACAATCAAGCATAGTATATCTTTGATGATAAGTTCTTGCAGCACATTCAGTACAGGAGTTTCAGTTTTCAATATATATTGCATGAAATTCGCACAAAGCATCTTCTGAGAATCTTTTTTTTTTTTTGTTCAGATTGCTCTTTAAATAACTAAAAGATTTTATATTGTATAGGGTGATTCATGAAAATGCTAAATGTCGTGCTTCTCTGAGGATTTTCTGAAATCTTTTTGTTTTTTATTTATATTTTCTGTCTCTCTTCTTCCCTCTTTCTTTCTCAGCATACTCCACGCCAGGCTCCACAGCTCCCAACAGGTTTGTCAGCATCGGATCACGGGACAACAACTTTCTGAACATACCCCAGCAGACGCAGGTGATTGTTATAATCAAAACAAACCTCGTTTCTTGTGTTCGAGCGTTTAAAATCCTCTTTCCTAGCATGTTAGCCTGCTCCTCCCCTCCTTTCCCATGATGCCCTCTGCTATGTGGTGACGGGCCCATCTGGAGCAGGCCTGCGATAACTCAAGCTGATCGGCGCGGTGTAGTTGATTTGAGCGTTGCGAATGTGCGGCCACCACACTGCGCCTCCTCCATCACCCAGTACACTTTACTCATTAATGTGTAAACCACACCCGCCCCGGGCCGGCTCCCTGCTCCTCGACACATGGTGACCATCTGAAGTCGCTAACTCGCCCGCTCTCACCTCCTCCCTCTGCTGGATGGCCTCTCTGGATTTGACCATTCATTTCCCTCTCTCTCTGCCTAACCTTTCCTCAATTCTCTGTGTTTTTTCACCACCTTTAACTCGTTTCTCAACTCGCTATCACCCTCTGCTGGTGATTTTTTTTATCTTCTCTCTCTTGGCTGTGACTTCGCTTTGTCCGATTTTGCACATTTTCTAGTGTGTTCACCCTAAATTTTAAAGGATAGAGGAACCACTTGCCTTAGACTTAAACAACTTTAGTGTTATAAGTAAATATTTTGCAAAGATTCATTATTTGTTGGTGAATATATATATATATATATATTATAAATAATATTATTATTATTATTGCACTTTTCTGGGTGCAATAATTCATTTATATAATTTTTTTAATGAACAAAGCAGCATTTCATATCTTTTTGAATGTTTGCTAATGAAAGTGCTAACAGCAACCTGTAGAACAAATATGGCTCTTTAATAAAATTATTAAATGTAATGTAGACAATGACCATGACAATGAAAATAGCTGGTTATTATAAGTAAAAGCTTTGTAAAGATTCATTATTTGCAGATGAATATATATATATATATATATATATATATTGCAATGCAAGTAAAGAAATAAATATATAGTGCAATAACAAAATATTAAAAAATATAATACAATGATAAAAGATAGAGGCAGTGAGACAATAGTGAAATAATACATTTATTATTTATTAAAAAAATTCAATTCAATGTAATACAAATATTGATACAAGCTAAAAGTAAGAGGCAGAGATAAAATGGTGAAATAATAAATTAATTTATTTTGTTTTTATTTATTAATTTAAGTAAATGTGCATTGTTAGAGTGCATTTATAATTATAATTCAGTGTAATTTACTTCAAAGAAATGTTTCTTGAAGGATTCAGTGTTTTTTCAAGTGGCCTAAAGGGTATTTCAGCAGGTAAGTTAAACTTTAAAATGTTTGTTGACAGAATATCAAAGCTAGTGGCATGTATTTTGAAGAAACAGCAAAATAACACTTTTCGAACAAAACATTCCACAAAAAGTACTTTGTGAGGTTTTCAATGGTAAATCAAAAGAACAAGAGTTTTTGTTTTAGGTGATATAAGCTTAATGTCAGTGTATTATGTTCATAGTCGATGTGATTATCTTCACCAGAGTGAACCGACTTTATAAATCCAAGAAAAATCACCACAACTCTAGTTTTGTAAAAAGACTCTGATTAAGAAAAGTGACGTGATTGAAGAGAAAAGATCCTGCAGCGTTTCAGACGCACAGAAACAGACCTTTTAAATGTTTGAATACTTTTGGGCCCACTGTATGTCCATACATCTCCGTATGGGGAAGTTCTCTCCGTTCCCATCCAAAGGAACAAGGAAAGAACTGCAGAAAAGTGAGACAGGCCCGGAGGAAAGAGAGGCAAAGTTTAAGCACGGCCCCTAAACTGAAAAGTCACGTCCCAACTGTCTGGTTGCCCGCAGCAACGAGACATGATGTCACAGGCAGTTGAACTTGAGAGGTGTGTGTGTGTGTGTGTGGTGGGGGGGGGGGGTAGAGCTGGTCACTGCCAAGGATTACAGGGGGAAGATGGGATTGCGAGAGGGAGGAGTACAGCTTAGAGGGGAAGAGTTACTTGGCCCGAGTGGCTGTTGGGCTGTAGCCCGGGGCGAGCGGCGCGGGGAGAAATAGACGGGACGTGCCGGGGGTGTTTGTGTGACCTGCAAGAGTCACCCAGAACAAAAGTTACCCGCGCCCCTCCTCCCAGACCCTCTCAGCCAAAGTGTTTCCAGGATTTGACTTCTAGAGAGTTTTGTTAAAGCCAATCAGGAGAAACAATCCCTCTCTCTCTCTCTCTCTCTCTCTCTCTCTCTCTCTCTCTCTCTCTCTCTCTCTCTCTCTCTCTCTCTCTCTCTCTCTCTCTCTCTCTCTCTCTCTCTCTCTCTCTCTCTCTCTCATTGTAATGCTGATCCGAGCTCTCGCTGTAATCCGGAGCAGCATCTCTCCTTCTCCATCTCTCCTTCTCCACCTCTCCTTCTCCATCTCTCCTTCTCCATCTCTTCTTCTCCACCTCTCCTTCTCCACCTCTCCTCCTCCATCTCTCCTTCTCCATCTCTCCTTCTCCATCTCTCCTTCTCCACCTCTCCTTCTCCACCTCTTCTTCTCCACCTCTTCTTCTCCATCTCTCCTTCTCCATCTATCCTTCTCCACCTCTTCTTCTCCATCTCTCCTTCTCCATCTCTCCTTCTCCATCTCTCCTTCTCCACCTCTTCTTCTCCACCTCTCCTTCTCCACCTCTCCTCCTCCACCTCTCTTCACACTGATGGAGCCGAGCGCTGCGTCACTGTCACGTGATAAACGCTCCAGCGCTTTCTGACTAGTCAACGCAAGGGTGTTTCAGGAAATATCCGAACAAGAGCTCTTGAGCGGATTGGAGAACAGTATTATATTAGCGCTATTATAATATTTATTTTATTTAAAACAATAATTTTATATATTAGTTTAAATATATTTATATATTAAATATATATTTGTATATTATTTTATTTATAAATAATATAATTAGTGCTGTCAAATAGATCAATCGCATCTAACACAAGTTTTTTTTTCATAATGTGTCTGCATATATTACTAAAAATATATATATATCATATATGTCTGTCTGTGTCTGTACATATACAGATATATACAGTATATATGTGTGTGTGTGTGTATATATATACAGACACATACACAGACATGTACAGTATGCAATATATCTAAATGTAATAATATATATATATATATATATATATATATATATATATATATACACACATTATGTAAACAAACTTTTATGTTAGATGTGATTAATCGTGATTAATGGATTTGACAGCACTATATATAATATATTATACCTAATTATCATAAATATATTTTAGATATATTGAATGTTATTTGGGCACAGTTTATATTAAGAATATAATTTATATCTCACACACATATATATATATATATATATATTTATATATGTGTGTGTTATACTCAAAAGTTTGGAATAATTCAAGTTATTTCTTGTTTTTTCTATTGTAATATATAGTAAAATGTAATTTATTCCTGTGATCAAAGCTGAATTTTCAGCATCATTACTCCAGTCTTCAGTGTCACATGATCCTTCAGAAATCAAACTGATACGAGCAGTACATTTAGAAAATAGAAAAAATATATATACATACATACAGACGTACATGTATATAAATTAGTATTTAATTCAGCACATATTTGTGTATTATATATTTTTTATTTTGAAATATATGACATTTAGAATTGTATATATTTTTTATAAATAATGTTCATTAATATTAATTATTTACTTGTATATTATAAATTGAATATTAAGGACATAAACCTTCATAAAAATATTAATCACAGTAATAAAGGACTGTCCTTCCTCTACTTACAGTAAAATGTGTATGTTTAATGTAACAAATTTTATTCTGCTGCCATTTTTATTTTATTTAAAAAAAAAAACACTATAAAGGTTAAATGAGTTTCCTAATTAAAATTAAAAGTTTGACAAGTCGTAAAGTATTTTTACTGGGAAACAGTAATTCCAAGATAACGAGAACGCACTATAAACTTTGTCTTAATATTTCTCTTTGTAAGAATGTCTGTCCATTGGCGTTATCAGTGTGATATTTGAACTTTATGAGCTGAACTCCTGAGATGCATTAACAGACTGTCTGTTGATGTTAATAAAGTCAGTGTGTTGGTATGTAGAGATGCGTCAGAGCTCTCTTGACATGACATTCTCTGAAGGGAGGTTTGCTGGTTTAGTTGAGGTCAGACTGTGGCGTAAAGGCCCATGTGGTGAGCAGGTCAGACTGAACGCTCTGTGAGGGTCAAGCCTGACCTCTAGTGGTGTGCTCAGTAAACGCAGTCTTCACACACTCCAGGATTTATGGTGCTGGATCAAGTAATTTCGGAAAGATTGTATTTACGAGTTGAAAGCATATGAACAAAGTCGCAAATATGAGTTGGAAGCAGTTGAGGGCGTTTCAGTGAGAAATGTGGTGAAATACCACAATATTTATAGGTATTTCGAAGTGGCTTTTTTATTTAAAACAAAATAAGATAATTGTATGTACAAAATATAAAAACCTAATGCACATTCTTTGTTTTATAAAAGTAGACATTGCTGTATTTTTGTGTAGTTAATTAAGAGAAAGTACACCCCCATCTTGATCCGACCAAAGTGACTCATACACACCTGACGTCGTAAGCACGACTTCCCAACTCGTAAATACGAACTTCCCAGGAGGACTTGAACGCATCAATATTCATGGGCGGATCGATCTGTATGTTTCCATACTTTCAAATTCAAACGTCAATGTTGATTAAATATTTATCATATTTTAATAGTTAAAAAAAAAAAAAAAATACATTTAATAAATGTAAAATTTATTTGTTATTTGTTTAAATTATTACAATAGGTTATAATATGTATGGTATATGTGGCAATAAAATGCATTTAAAACGTTTAATATCTTAAGTTTAACATGTATTTGTTTTATTACATTTATTAGAAAGAAAATTATGGAATTATAATAGGTTTATGTGATGTTTATTATGGTTATCTGAAACAAAATAAACATCTGTTCTGTAATTGTTGTTAATGACTGATAAACAAAAACGGATATGTGAGAAATGTTAGTTTAGTCCCATGTTATGTTTATTTTAAAATGTTAATTTAATTTAAGGCTTTCAAATATAATGTTTATAAAATTAAATACTCATTAGTAGATGTATAATGTAACCTATAATGGTTAAAATGAGTTAAACCATTTTTATCATATAGAATCTATATGAGCAACATTGGCCTTGATAGTACTGGTTATTGGATCGAAAAGAAGAATTTTTTTCATGCACAAGTTATTTTATAATAATATTATATTCTCACTGAGCTGGTGTATTTTCAGATTGGACACTAACATTGCTTTTTGTGTGTGTTTTTACAGTCATGGTTCCTTTGATGAGGTCCTGCCTGCAACCTGTCGACACAATTTGGAAGTTTTATGAAAAAAAAAAATCCTGTTTGCAAATCCCCTCCGACCTGAAATGCACCCTAAGAAACGTGAGCAGAATATGATTGGGAAACGTTCGACCCTGTATTTGCCAACCGTCAGACGTCCTTCAAGCCCGCTCCTCCGCCTCCGTTACAGACGTTCAGATCACAGCAGGAGGTGACGGACTGACACACACCTACAGCATCTCGCAACAACCGTCAGAAAAACAACGGCAACGTCGAGGAAGAACCTGATGAACTGAGACAGAAACAAGGATGTAGTGTAAAATGGCTGGGATTATCAACAGTTTCAGTGGTGAGGATTCAGACACAACTAAATCGAAGATCTTTACTAATTAAACTTCAGTTTTTTGGTTTTCTAAACATGCTGACGTTCAGCATACAGGCGACGCTAAAAGTCATTTCACATCATAAGACGGTTCGCAGCATTTGTAGCTAAATAGCATGCGGTGGAAACGTCTTTTTTTCCTGTTTCGGTCAATTACTAAACTGATTATGAACAGCAGAAGTATTGCACTACAAATATGCGAAGAACACTAGTTTGACGTGCACTATTGAAAATGGGATCGACGGCGGACATTATTTGCACATTTTATCGCGGAGAAAACAACCCCCTCACACTACAGCTACCCAGAGACGCATCTCAGAGGAAGTCCTCGTTTTCAGGCCTCAAACAGAAGCGTTTTAATGAAGCAAACGTCCAATTCAGGCCCGTAGTGCCAACTAGCCAGCACCAGATTTTAGGTAGTACTCCTATAGGACGAAAAATGCCAACCAACACACACACACACACTTTAGGCGCTGTCACTTGGGCAAAATTTCGTGGCCGAAAAAGGTCTGCACTATTGACTAAGTACAGAATTTGCTGGTCAACGCAGCGGATTTGTGTAACCATCTTGAACTTAATGCGAAATCTGTCCTAGATAATCATTGCATTCTTTTATTATTTTAAACTCAAGTCCTTTTTTTATTATTAAAGCCACATATCTGAAATATACATTTTAAATTGTTTGTTAAACATGAACTCTGATTTTAGATATTTTATTTGCCCTTAATGTGAAATTGCGTGGATTCCTTATAAATAATGGAATTTTTCGTCCTTGAAATTACACCGAGCAACTGTAAAAGTGACCGCCAGGGTTGCCAGGTCTTCGTGACAAAACTAGCCCAATGGCCAATCAGAACCAGCCCAAGACTAGCCCAATGGCCAATCAGAACCGGCCCAAAACTAGCCCAATGGCCAATCAGAACCAGCCCAAACTAGCCCAAAGGCCAATCAGAACCAGCCCAAACTAGCCCAATGGCCAATCAGAACCAGCCCAAGACTAGCCCAATGGCCAATCAGAACCAGCCCAAGACTAGCCCAATGGCCAATCAGAACCGGCCCAAAACTAGCCCAATGGCCAATCAGAACCAGCCCAAACTAGCCCAAAGGCCAATCAGAACCAGCCCAAAACTAGACTAGCCCAATGGCCAATCAGAACCAGCCCAAAACTAGACTAGCCCAATGGCCAATATATCACCCCTATACGTAAAATACACATTTCACAGTCACTGTTGAGAAGCATTATATCGTATTGATAATAAACAGCTCAAAGGCTCCCTACCAGTAGTTCTCCTTCACAAAACTTAAAAAATCTAGCACAGTTTTCTCATTTGGTAGAATATCAAATATTTCAATACAAGCTTAAATTATATTTATGCTTTGTCAAACCCAATTCCCACAAACTTGGCAACCCTGGTGAACGTTATTTTACAGCCATGTGACCAAGCTAGAATTTCAAAAAGTCAGAGATAATCATTGGATTCTTTTTTTTCCATTTTTTTTATTAAAGCCATATGTATGAAATAAAAGTTTTAAATTCATTGTTAAAATTTTTAAGTAAAATCTCCATGGGGATATTTTTTGCCCCCATTATTCATTGCGTAGATTCCCATTTAAATGATGGTATTTCGTCTGCGAAATTTCCAGTCATTCCAGTCCCAGTCGTCCGCACCTTTACAGTCATGTGACCGAGCTACAATTTTAAAATCCTTTTGTTTAAAAAAAAAAAATCTGCGATAATCATTGCATTCTTTTTACTTCAAACTCAATTTTTTAATTAAAGCCATATGCCTGAAATACAAGTTTTAAATTGTTTGTTTAAAAACATAAAGCTCTTAATTAGAAGTAGGAGACTTAAAACTAAATTCTAGTCAAGCAAGGCATAATAAAAGTCCCCAGTTCATTAGCACTAATAAAGACGGCCCTAGAGACACGCCCACTTCTTTGTTTTGTTTACGTACCTGTTTACACTCCCAGAAGTCCTTGTTCCAAGAACACGCGACCTCGCTGCGGAGCAAAAGAATGTGTGACATATCATAGCCGTGCTCAGAGGGAGGTGGGCCGCTCGGGGGGCGCTTTTATTAGCCGTCACCATTCACTTCAACAGCAACATTAGGGTAACGTTTCGGCATGGCCGTCATAAAAGTATGCGCATACTACAAAGGGAAGCCTTTAGGGTGAATTACAGTAGCTTCATCCGCTGATAAAACACGTTTTGCTTTCAACGCAGCTGTAATGGACAACCTCACTAAATAACTGGACTGCCTGACCATGTATCTCACTGCAGGGAAGCATTGTTGCCGGACGGCGGCCGTGTCATCGCTTTGCTAGAAAACTAACATGAGAATCGTGATGGCAATGGTCTTTTCTTTTCTAATCAAAGGAAGTGCCTCTGTATTCCCATTATGCAATTTGTTAAAACATGAATTCAGGTTATTTTCTTGCATATAAGCTATAGAGGAGCGTGAAATTTTTATGAGAAGAAAAAAAAAATAACAAGCGTCAGCTCACTAGTTACAAACATCTTTATATATACAGGATATATCCATATATATTTATATATACATTTTTTTTTTCTTATTTGCCTAATAAGCTCAAGTGGCAGTCTAGTTATTTTTTGAAGTATGGCATGATCATGAGTTATCATATATCAGAAATCAGAAGTTCCAGTCCCGAAACCCAGTTCTGCACTTAATAAATTAGAGCGAAAAAATAAACTGGCGGAAATCAGATTTCCGTGGAAAACGTTATTGATAGCGTAGGGAGAGAGAGAGAGAGAAAAAAATGCACGGCTTTTGATTTCTTTTGTGTTTTGGACAGGAAGTATTTGTTATTGCAAAATAAAGTGTGTTGATTGAGCCATGTGCAATGCCTTGGGTAGAAACTGTGTTTGTCTCATTGTTAGGGTGTACAGGAAAGCGTAGAGGTGAAAATCCTTCTATTATAGTAAAGTCCACGCTGTCCGGGACTCTAAACTACAGGGCGGTGAGAGAGAGAGAGAGAGAGCGATTGAGAGAGAAAAAAAAACGGTCTTTGTAAGTTTTGGGAATTTGTTTTGTAATCTTTCCTTTTTTTCTGCTTTTTTTTATTGTTCATTTGTAATGATTTGTTCTCAAAACTTAGGAGGGCTGAAGCAGCTGTTTTTATTTGCGACACGTCAGAATATATCACTAAATAAAACAGGTGCTTTTTATGGATCAAAGTACGATCAATCTCTATTATACATAAGAAGACAAAAAAATAAGTGTTATCAAGACAAATTTTAGGGGGGGGAACACGTACATTACTCTTTTTCCTTTTTATATTTACTAAAGTGGGGGAGGGGGTTCATTGTGGTCAAGGTTGTGACAAAAGGCATTTTTCCTCCAACCTTTTCTCCGAAGGGATCGAGGAATGTCGATGTCCTACGAGGTTTTTACCAAGCTAAAATGCGGTATTTTTGTCTTCACGCTATGCATTCCAGTTTTCTAGGACTTCCATACTTTAGGTCGCCCGAACCGCCGTAGTCCTTAACCAACTTCCCGCCGGAAATTTGCTGGCTTTTTGTATGTCGAATTCGTTTGAAAGTTATGACAAGATCTTCCCTGTTTATGGGAGAGGCTTCAACGCAGCTGGAATAAACTAAAATGCCCGTCATAAGCTAGAAACTATGAAGAAACGTGATGTGAATTTGTTATTTTTTATATTTTGATAAACTGGTGAATCTTCATATTTCACTCCAAAATCAAAAGAATAAAAAGATTTTTTGTCAAAAATAGTCAGTGCAAAAACATCTTAATGGTCCTAAAAAATAGGCTTAATTTTTATACTTTATGCACAATATCATTTATTTTGATTTGGGAGTGAAAAAAAATCTATATTTCTTAATAAGCTTCACCCAAACAGACCCCCAAACAACGTCGGCGACCAATCAGAACGAGAGAGTTGAAACTGAACCCCTCCCCCACCGAACTCACAGCGCCCTCTCCTGGCCCTCCGTGTAAATGACTCTAAATATTTGTTTTGTGATCTAGTGTTAGACTCAGAGCATCATAAAGGTTGTCCCTAAAAAGTGCCTTTTGTTCACAGACACCATCTTGTAATCCTGAGTGCCCATCTAAAAAAAGAAAAGAAAAAAAAAACATTTAAAAAAACAAACAAAAAAAGTCCCCTCCTTCAAACTTCTGTATTTCTCCTTCCGCGACTTCTTCAAAGCAGTATATATAGTACTAAAGGAAATCGGTGTGACTTAGTTCCTCTTTTTATTGTTGAATAATTAAGAAAACTGTAAAAAATGACAAAAAAAAGACCAAAAAAAAATCTTTCTGTCTTGCTTTTCCTTCCTCTGTAATCTTGTCTTCTGCCTCTTTTGGACACTGGAGTAGTCTATAGTTGCAAAATCATCGCCCTTCCCCGTGCCCCTTTTCTCTGAACGGAGGGGTTTTAAAATAATAAAAAAAAAGAGTAAGAAAAAAATGTTGTCTGAGCAGAATGCAGTTAGCTCACATGTTATTCTTGTCTGTACGCTTCACGTTGTATTCATACCGATCTCTTCAGCTTCTCCATTGAACAGTTAATGTACGTGAACAAGTTACGCCGGTGAGCTCTGGTGGGCCGTCCCACGGACAGATGGGCGTTTCGGCTGCGGGAACGACAGAGGACCGACCGCTGGGGTAGACTAGGAGAGTTTTTGATCTATTTATTTCTTTTTTTGTTACCAAATTCATTTGATTTGCTATGATCTGTTTGTATTGATATTGCATTGAGAATCTGTATTGATGATGCACCTTTTGAATGGTTGTACGTGACCAGATATTTAATTTAAAAAAATAATAAAATTCCTGTCAAGACAAAGCACCTTAAAAACGGAGTGGTTTCAGCCCAGGGAAAGCGACACAGTTTCGAAGCCCAGCGTTACGAGCCAAACCCTTTAGACCAAAGTGACGCACGCCACAAAAAAGACTAAAATTAACTTGAAAACTCACCAGCAAAAGCCGATGTGGGCTTAAAGACGACTTGCTTCCTCCCACAAACAAAATATGCAATTGTTTCACTTTCCCGAGTCCGTGAAGCCGGCGTCCGCGTTGGCTGCGATTTATTAATAACTGTAATAAGTGAAAGCCATAGCGACGGACACGTGTTTGGCGCTCTCATCGTCCCTCCCTGGTACTGACCGTCCATTTTCTTTCTTTCTTTGGTATTTACTTTTGTACTCTTTTGTTGAGCGGGGCATTGGCATGCGTTTAGAGTAGCACGAGCCCTCGGCGGCTTCGGTCCTGGTTTGAACTCCTCGAGCGGCGCCCGTCTCAGTCCCACACGCCTTCCAGAGCTCATGGTGAAATGCATGTGTTGATTACAATTTCTTTTCCATAATAAGAAAAACAAGAAAGAGCAGCACCTTTAACTGATTGAATAAAAGGATGTTCTTGACTGTAAAGACGACTCGTATGGTTATTTTCCTCTTCAGATCCAGTTTAGCCTCAGCGAACTTCCTCAAGATGATTTAAAATAAGACAAAACAAGCAGTAAAATAAGCTAAAAATAACTACTGTTTTTTTTTCATTTTCTTTGAAGAACCAGGGTTCCCACGGTCTTGTAAAATAGGAAGTGACCTCATTTTAAGTGTGATTTCTAGACCTGTAAATGTCAAGTAAATTAAAAGTATTTTATAACTCCATATGTTTTTATACATTTAGATAATTTTCTAGTCATTCCATGCTCTAAAATGTTGATTGGATAGAAATTGAAGGGAAAAATTCTTCAATCCTTATTGAGAATATCACAAACAACTGGAAAAGTCAAGCGGTCTTCGTCTGTTGTTGGACAATATGTGGCCAAAAGATGGGGAGTCAAAAAGTTTGAGAACTGCAGAAATGTACACATACTGTAGATGCCACATCCGACCGCTTTAGACATGTCCGCCATCTTTTTGAAGCTGCTCATTACAAATCAATGACACTTTATTGAAAATGTCTCAGCATTGTGTGGCCTATGGCTGTAAAACCCACCAAACTATAAATTCCAGATGAAATGGGATAACCTTCAGAGGTGAGAATGTGCTGGTTTGTGTTTTAATGTATAATTTAATATGCAATACCATATCCTAAATTATCACAACTAAATGCTGTGTAAATCATCTGCTAATGTCTATTGCAGATGCACAGTCAACTTGTTCCAACATAGAAATAATATACATAGAAGTCTCATTAGTGTCTGTTTCTATGTTGAGAATCGCTGGTTTAGTAACATTGATCATGCTCTGATATAATATGTAAATATATTCACAAACAAACCATTTTTAAGTTACATTGAGTTTTTATTTAATGTACCTTCTTCATGTTAAATTAACAGTCTATAAATAATTATTTAATGAATTTCCCCCAAAGGATTGTGTTCGGATCACAAACATCTGCTAAAAGGCAAGTAGTCATTTATTTATTTTTAAATTGAAAAAACATTAAAGTATATTGTTTACAGAAGTTAGTTAAAACACTGTGTGTGTGGTCACTTGTTAAAGAATGTAACCAATTAAAAATGTAACAAAAATAGCTTTTTAGAAACAATTATGAACCATTAAAACTTGGTCTTTTTTGACTAGTGCTTGTGCATCAAAGCGAAAATAAGTTCTTTTCAAAATATTCAAGGCCACCTTTTGTAAATATTTTCTCCAAAAGGTTTTTTTTTTTTACTTTAAATTTTTTTTTAATAATATATAACATTTCAATTTATTTCTATGCAAAAAATGTAAAATTACAGTACATCATTTTGTGCACTTTTAATCAGCATTTATGTGCTATTGAGTAAATTGACCTGAAATCGTCCCAGCTGAGGGTGATCGGACCAGTTAATTGAACGCATACAGTCGTCGGCCCCTCTTAAATGTGGTAAATGTTTTTATGATCGCATCCCTCCCAGTCGATGAGCTCTGAGCAATCAAACCACAGCGAGATCTCCCGCTCCGCTCCTTCCACAGAATCAGAGGCATGCACCACATTTCTGAAGGAATATAACAGTCATGAAAGTCATTGCAACCATGCCACTCATATACATGCCAAACATTTAGGGTTTGAACACATAATTACAGCTGAGATTCTTGGTAACCCATTAGTTATTGCATTAAATAGCACTAACTAACAATGAGTAATACATTTGTTACAGTATTATTTATTCATCTATGTTCAAGTAAAACAACTGTTCATTGTTAGTTAATGTCTGCTCCATTAAATAATATTAACAGAAAACCTTTTGTTTTTAAAGTGCCCCTATTATGCTTTTTCAAATATTATCTTCCATGTAGAGTGTAATACAGCTGTTCTACAAAGTTTCAAAGACCAAAATGCACTATAAATAGTTATTATCTCCTAAAAAATAAATAAATACTGAACTGTAGTAATTCCAGTCTCAGTGAAGAACTACAGTCTTCATTGGTTGCATGTGAACATCATTTACTTCAAACACTGTAGTTGAAGCCGAGACTGGAAGAGTTTGGTTCGTGTTGTCGACATGTTGAGAAGATGCTGTTTTCATCACTGCGAAAGCAAATCCACTTTACTGCACTTCCAAAGGATGAGGACTAGCGCTCAAATTGATACGGTAAAACTGACATTATCGTTACTGTTTGCTTCACCGTGTATCATGTGCTGTGGAAGATCTAGAGCTGAAATTCAGATATGTTCATCTGACCAATCAGAGCAGAGTAGACCTATCACAACAGACTGGGTCATCTGATCAATCAACAGAGTAGACCAATCACAACAGACTGGGCAATCTGACCAATCAGAGCAGAGTAGACCAATCACAACAGACTGGGTCATCTGACCAATCATCAGAGTAGACCAATCACAACAGAGTAGGCCAATCACAACAGACTCTGCCATCTGACCAATCAGAGCAAGAAAATAGATTAAATAAAATAGTCCAACACTGTGGTACAACGAGCACACTCCCTTAAGAGAGCAGCCAGAAAAATGGAGCGCAACTAGAAGAAAACAAAACTAGAGGTATTTCGCATTTCATGGAAGGAGAGCTCGATCGCATACAGAGAGGCCTTAAAAGCTGCTAGATCTGCTTATTTTTCAACCCTATTAGAAGACAATAAACAAAACCTGAGGTATTTATTTGAAACAGTGGATAAACTAACGAAAAATAAAGCTTCAAGCCCAGAAGTGTCCAAGCAGCACAACAGTAATGACTTTATGACCTTCTTCACTTATAAGATTGATAATATCAGGGACAAAATTATAACTATGCAACTACTACAGCATCGCATCAGGAAGTGCATTGTAGTCTCCCTGAGGAAAAATTCTGATTCATTCATTACTATATGAGAGGAAGAATTTTTTTAACTCGTTAAATCATCTAAATCGACAACATGTATGTTAGACCCTATACCGACTAAGCTACTGAAAGAGATGCTTCCAGAGGTCATAGATCCTCTTCTCAATATCATTAATTCATCTTTGACATTAGGATACATACCAAAAAAGTAACTAGGACCGTTACTGTTTACTCTGTACATGCTACCCTTAGGAGATATCATTGCACACATCACAGATTCTTAAATTTGTAATCCCACAGAAGCATGGCATTAGTTTTCACTGTTATGCTGATGATACGCAGCTTTATATTTCCTCACGCCCTGACGAAACTTACCAATACACAAAATTAACGGAATGCATAACTGATATAAAAAATTGGATGACTAGTAACTTCCTACTACTAAATTCTGGAAAAGCAGAGATTCTAATTATTGGACAAAAAAACGTCCTCCTTCCTTTTTAGGGAAGGCCTACATGCCTGCACACATATATTCAAACGCACATCCCTAGAGAATGAACTCTTAATACGCGTGCACACTATCAGCGTTCTCACAGGTTTGCGTAGAGTGAACTTAAGAGTTTTCTGTTAAAACGGTGTTGTGTTAGCGGCCCCTAGGTTAATAACTAATGATCGTTGCGACGGAAGAGAATCAATCAAAACTAACTTTAACTGGAAAATAACTTTACGTTAGAGCTGTCATAAAGCCAAAACAAAACATCTGTTACTTTAATTTATTATTTACCTATTATCACTGTAAAGCCGCTTTGGAACAATCTACATTGTTAAAAGCGCTATATAAATGAAGATGACTTGACGAAGAAGAACTCAGTGAGTATATCGGGGCCTTGATGCTGCATCTGAAATCGCTTACTGTATAAGTGGCACTACATTTGGTTTGAAACTTACTCTGTGAGCGTGGAAAAAGTACCTTCTATATAGTATGAGTGTGTGTGTAGTATGAATCTAATCCGGACGTACTAAATTCACCATGCGATCATTCTCATGTGATCTACGTTGTCAGGTGCATCGCTTCACCTCCATTCATAAATCCTCTCCCGTGGCCTCATGGGATAGTGAAGTGTCCATCATATGCTCACTTCAAAATCACGCCAGAAGTAGTTGGTCATCCGAGTACTTTTCGCTTACTCTTTTATTATGAATACTATGAATTTGGACACTCCTCGGCTCACATACTGTTTTTTGCGTGCTATATAGAATGGAAGTAGGCATTTTCCTACGCAGCATGAATCTTCGAACGAACCATTTTAAGACTATTTGAAAAATAAGGTGATGTGCGATGTATATTATGAAAAAATTAAAGTGTTTTTGACCTTTGATGCATGTAAACCTATTCTAGGAAACTTCCCAAACAAACCTTAAAATCGCATAATAGTGGCACTTTAATAATGTGTTTGCAAATATTTAAATAAATATTAATAGATGCTTTAGAAGTATTTTTCTTTGTTAATTAGATTAGTTAACATGAACTAAGTAATGTTAACAAATGTAACCTTATTGTAAAATTTTACAAAATATGTTTCTTGATTTTTTTATTTTTTAAATGTTACCAAGAGTTTTTGCAAAAAGTTTAAAACCCAAAACAAACATTTTTGATTTCTGCTCATGTGGCAACAATATAGTATACTACTGTTTAAATATCTATTTATTTTTAATATTGTATTTATTATTTCTTTAAAAAAAAAACAAAAAAAAACAGTTTATTATTGAACATAATATAAAAAAATTAAAAAAAAGAAATATATAGTGTGCAGTACACTAGTATTCATAATGAGTTTATGTATGTAAGTACCTGCTGATGTGAACGCTGAAATCTCCTCTAATAGTTCCAGGTGAAGCGTCAGCAGGGTTAGTGTCTCCCACCAGCATACGCGATGACCTCACCACATTATGCCCCTCCCACACCTGAAAACAAGCCAATGAGAACACCTCAAATAAATTGTGTAAAACTTACTTTTGGATGTTCATTAATCACATTGGAGATCAAAGTGCATTGCACACAGTATGTTCTGGTTGGACACATTTTGTCAAATGCATTAGGGATTTGCACTCTTATTTGCATCCTGCAGAAACAGTATTACAGCTGTATGATATTCATAACTGGCCGTTACTCTACCATGGCGACTACAGGGCCAGAGGTCATGTAGTACAGCAGGCTGGAGTAGAAGGGTTTCTTCCGCAGCGAGATGTAATGCTGAGCTAAAAGCTTGTCAGAAGCCTGAAAAATACAGACACATGATGAACAAACACGTCACACACACACACACACACACACACACACACACACACACACACTCATGAACGTCTTGTGTGTGTATCCCGCACCTGCAGCATCTTCAGACCCACCAATCGGAATCCTCGCTGCTCAAAGCGCTTGATGACGTCACCGATCAGACGCCTCTGAACGCCATCAGGTTTCACAGCGACCAAAGTCCGTTCTTTAATGCCCGACAAATCTACAGCAGTTCAGAAACATATCAATACATGTCCGTTTTCATGGCGACTGCACTTTTTTTTTTCTTCAGATTAATGATAAATTTGTTAAAAAGCAAACAGCGCCATCAACTGCCCAAGTGTGAGACACCAAAGAATGCCGGTTAACATTAAAGTTTGCAAGTGCACATGAATTTAAAAAAAAAGTGCAACGATAAATAAAAATGGCAGAAATTTTGTCTGGATCCGGCAAAATTTTGTATAATAAAAATGGCAAAAATTAAATTTTAATAATGTATTACTTGTTTGTCTTATAAATTTGAAAACATGTTCTTCTGAAAGTAAGTGTTGTTCAAGTAAATAAGATTTGGAGGGATCCTAACAAAGAGAATGAAGAAACTTTATAAACTAAAAGCTTTCTTCCATTAACATTAAGTCATTGTCTCTCATTATTGGTCATTTAGCAGCATTTTGAATACTCATTGCAGGAACAGAGTGATATTTCATCTGATATCATCAGACAAATGATGTGTTTTGCCAGACCATCTCTTACAGGAACACTAACAGTCTCTATGAAGAAAAGTTCCTGCAAACGTGACAGACACGCGATCACTTACAGTCGTTCCTTGAAGTTTCATCAAATTAAGGTGGTTCCACACACACACACACAGAAATTAATGTGCTCAGTTTGAGCCCAAATGTTGCCAATATGCATTCAATACAACACTCTGATTGGCCTCCAGATGGACCAATCACACGCACTGTGAAGAGGGAGTTCGAGGTCACCACAGTTAGTCAGGTCTAATCGGCCTTTTTAAGATTTAGATGTATTTACAGTAGTCAACATTTGAAGTGGATAAAAAAAAAAGTTAATTAAAGTTGTCCTAAGACAAGAACGGGTATTGAATACATGAAAGGTTTTGATCCACTTCAAATGTTGACTACTGTATTTCTATTTAATATTTTTAGTGCTTCAACAAACTTATTTCAGTTTATTACCAGGCAACATTTCTTGTTTTCATTTAGTTAAAAAGTTCATCTTTATTTCATTTAACTGAAATATATTTAACACGTGCAAACCAATGGAATTACCATGATATCAATGCAAAATATAATGTGCTTTTTGGTGGATTAGTTGAAGGAGTTTCAAGTTTGAGATGGGAGTATTTTATGTTCATTTATAGTTTGTGTATGATTTCAGTTTTAGTGTGTGATACAGGAAGCCATTTCAGTTTTGACCTGTGCTACTAAATCTATTAAGTGTGAGACAACGACTTGCACGAGCTCCTAATGTAGTCAGCACTCACCCACGTGAGGACGCAATAACACAATTAACCAATCACTGATCGCCTGAGGACAGAGCAAGTAGTGAAACAGAGCACAAATCCTATAGATAAAACTTTGATTTTAAAAATATAATTCGATATATTTTTGTACGGGTTGTAACAATATAAAGTACTGATATCAGATGGTTATATACCGTGGTACATTCGTTTAGGCCTGTATACAACATGAACTTTAACCATTTTCATTATCATGGTAAGTTAAGTCGAAGTATTTCAATGGATACCATGAAATGTTTCCAAAAGCAGCCTTACAAAAATTACCATGGAATAGCAATGTTATCAAATCTAATACAACGGTATTTAAATGTATTTACCATGAATTACTCTGAGGTACTAACGTGTACAAAACTCATCGTAGTCTTTTTTACTAGTTGTTTAAACTTTAGTGTAGCATTAGCCTGGTACGCATGCATATTATAGGCCTATGTTATTTTCACGCTGATAAAAGGGTATTGTCATGGTACTTTTAATTTTCCCTGTCCTAAACCTTTTTCATAAAGAGCACTTAGTTTTTGCACTAAACCTGTTTGTTCTCCACACAGAGAGAGAGATGCATGTAAACAGACCTGTGTCACTGCTGAGGCTGCGCACGTGCCCGTGTCCCAAAGCGCGCGTGGAGCTCCGTGTGGCCGCTCGCGCTCCGTGGACGCCGAGAGCAAATCTCACAAACATCATCTTCATTTCCAGGTCAAGCCCTTCTCAAAACTTCACCGACTGGCGCTTTTACAACTCCGAAACTTGAGAGCGGTCCGATACTTTTAACCCCCGGACCGTTACACACATACGCACGCGCGCGGTCATTCACCTGACAGGTCAAAGTCAGCGACCAGTCACCGTATATATTATATGTTCAGATGATGTGCGTGTCATGGGAAGAAGAGACCCGCAAATTACAGTGTAATTATCGGTCATCACGTGCACTGCACAAACACGACCTCTTAATTAACACAATTTCCTGTTTAGAGACCCATGAAAGATAGACGCACAAAAATGCATTTAGCCATATGAAAAAGACAGCTAAATAAAAAACGGAACTGAATTAATTGTTTGTTCGTTAAATTATTTTGATTCTATAGAAAGAATATTTTGTTAGATTTTATTTTAATTTCAGGGAACATTTGGTTTTTAGCTATTCTTTCCCAAAAGTGAAGTGAGGTCGAAAGACAAACACACATTAATCGATTGCTGGCAGGGAGACAAAACAATAAATGTTAGCCTTTGGAGAACAAACACAAATAGAACTGGCTACTTTTGATCATTTCAAACAGAAGATTCAATCCCATTAACTGATAACTGATAGTAGAAATGTAGGCTTGGGTGAATAATTCTAGCCTTGATCACTGATAATGTGAGACAGAAAGCAGAGAAAGGCTATCGCAAATGATTAAGTGTTATTAAGAGAATTTAACATTCCGCTAAACTTAGAAATTTTACGCCAGAAATCTTAAATCTATCATGAATGATGTGAGGGAATGTAAATGTACATCATCACTGACCACTAGAGGTCCCGGTTTACATACTTTACCAGTAGTATCAATGCACTTCATTAAATCTCATTCGTTCTAAGTGACATTCAAGGTGCATGTGTCATTAACATGGTTGTATGACTGGTTTTATTAGATGCGTCATTTTAAACGAGCTCAATATTTATTGCATTATAAATTCCAGACACAAACACTCAAAAAAAAAAGAAGAAGAAAGAAAAAAGGCTTTCCCCCCAAGGCTGGAAGAACTGGCCTCAACTTGCCTCATGAAGGTGATGTAAACAGGGAAATCACACTGGAATGAGAAGTTTAATAGGATTCCTGGTAACACTTTACTACAAGAACATAACGTTAGTTAAAGGCAGGGAATTTTTCTGAATCATCCTGATAGCAATCACTAAGTTAAGTGGTCTAGATGTATTCATATATATCATCTGTGGAAGTCCAATATGATGTCCTACCTTTCTGTCAACAGATGTATTTCCATACCTCGGCGCACCTGTTGCACAGACATCACTCGTCATCAGCGTGTTTCATGAAGAGTTAGACAGACGTCAGTCACTGAGCAGCGCAACCGAAACAGCAGCAAGCTTTTACAGTTCCTCTTGAACCAAAACAACCAGCTTATGCTGCGTTCACGCCATAACTACTAGCATTTGGAAGAGATGGAAACCTGTGACGTTATACCCGGAGCGGTTCGTGACTCAAATGCGTTTCTATATCAACACTATCAACGGTGATATGAATCTGCAGCAGTCAGGTGGTACAGGTCAGTGCTGTTTAAGTTATGTTCAGTATTATTATAATGTTATGTGCTTTGAGACATAAGGTTTAACACCGTCTCTCGTGATGCTTTTGTTTGCTCCCTGCTGTGTGTGTTCATGTGTTTTGAAGGAGGAGTGTCTGGAGACGCTCTGAGGGTCGGATCTAATCCTTTCAATATAGGCCTAGCTTGTTATTTCTAGCCTCTCCGAAAATTCCCTTCCCTACTTTTAATGCATTTACTAACATTAACGAACAATGACCAATACATTTGTTACAGAAGTTATTAATGTTAGTTAATAGCAGTCTTACGGGAGCCTGTAGTTTACATTAAACGGGTATAAGCACAGGTGAACGGAGAGTAGCCTTCCAGGTCCAGAGTCTTACATTAATAAAGGGATACAAGGAAACATTACAAGCAAGATGATGATACATGTCATAATTATAGCTGAAGCTTTTAGCATATCATATGGTATTATCACATACTGAATTAAGTTACAAAAATAAAAATGTTGTCCTTTATACACAAAAAGTGGCCTCAGATCTCCATTTGTTTAGATCAGTGAAGTCGTCGTCATCATAGGCTTAATTTGCGGGTAGGACATGTCCCCACTCCCCACCACTTTTTCTCAAGATCGATATTGTCCCCCACCACTTTTTGAAACATTGAGGCATGGATGTAGGCTATAACTAATACAAATAAATAAAACATCTCCAGTTAACTAGCAGAGCATTCATTTAGTTCGCTATTAAATAAGAAATCTAGCGCTAAAATCTGTTGTTTTTGAACTCAAGCTGAGCACTCGTTGCCGCTGCGATCAGTCGCATGTTCTCTTGTGGCGCGCGCACAGTCTTCACTCGGACGCGCTCTTCAATCTATCGCCGTTGCGGAGACTCTCTATTCGTTCCGGTGAGATCACAAAATAAAATGCACACAAACGTGTCCCTGCTTGATATAGACTGTAACCAATGATGAACATATTCGGTTTTGATGAGAGAGAGAAAAAACAGACGAGTGCGGATTAGAACCCGTAACCTCTGACACGCTTGGCAAAAGATCTACCACTAGACCATTGAAGAACTAAAACAATACCTGCGGATCAATGCATTGACCAGCGAGCAGCGACCGCACACCAGGCCGCCAAATAGTGTGTTGCTTATTAAGAACTTGCTATGTATAACTATCAGAACAGCCCTCGCAGCCTCGAAAAACTACCGGCCCACCGGGAAAAGTCCTGACTCTCCCGATTGCCACTGCTACTGGGTGAAGTTATGTTTAGTGATAGGGTTATGGATAGAGTTAGGGTTTGGGTGAACCTCCACCCATTGGCTCTGCAGTCCAGTGGCGTCATGCCCATTCAAAGTGTGGCCCGTGCCCCCGCAGATTTTTCCTCCCTGATAATTTTTTTGTCACAACTTTATTCCTATTATGCTCCATAATTACCAGAGCCTATTAAACGACTCAAATGTATTCTTCTGGATGTGTAATAAATCGGTCAGCATCAGCCCGCCCCTTTTTCCTAATATAGTGTCTGTGTATATCAAATCTAGAGCGCTCTAGAATCTTTGCTGTGTATGTTCAAGCAGCTCACTCGTCTCGCACGTTGAGCTGGCAATGTTTTACAGATGGTCTTGAAGTGGTAAGTGGGCAAAAGCAACAAATCGGCATTGAATTAGTTATCGGATGATATTAAAAGGTAGTGGGATTATTTGTGGTTGATCTGGAAATTTTAACTTGATCAAAAAGTTATGGATTTGATATTAGCTGCGAATTCAGAGCATTAACTTAAGTTGTGTCAGTGTAACGTTATAGCTAGCCTAGTCTTACACAGAATCAGTGGCGTAGGTTTGATTTTGAAATTGGTGGGGACGGGGACATCAATATTTAATATATTTAAAGTTTTGATCGAAAATATTGCTAGGGATATATCAGTGTCACTGGATATTGGTAGGGACACGTCCCTGGCGTCCCTACTAAATTCTACGCCCCTGCACAGAATTATAAACCAATGGCTAGCTATAGCCCTTCTGTCTGGTTCATAGGTTAAATGTACAAGTTACAAGTTACTAGCTTTTCTGTTAGCTCATTAATTACTCTTTACAAGGTCCCTTATTTAAAATATAATAATGAGCAGTGTAACTACAGTATTTCAATGATTTTACTAAAGTAATGTTACATATTACATTTGATAAACGGGTAGTGTTAACCTTATTCAGAACTGAAATCTGTCAAACTTCTTTCAAAGTCCTTCATCACATGATATTAATATTAAAATAACTTAATTTCAGAGCACCACAAAGTCAGACCTCAGCACCTTTATGTACCTTTAATGTAAGATCGTTCTTAGGTCACATACCAATTTAAAATCATAACATAAAAACTGCAATGGTACTGTTTTTAAAATCATGTGTAGTGTAGGCCTAAGTGTACAGTAAGTGTGTGTGTAAACATGCTTTAATGAAGTAGACTTCAAAAGCTTTTGAATTTGAGCTTACAGTTCTTTCATCAACCTGTATTTTACATAAACTTACAAAATAGATACTTTAACTTAGTGCTCAGATAGAGGAGGGTTGCTGCTAGCTCCGTTAAGGTATTTCCGTCCCTCCCAAACTGCATTGAAATGGTATGTTTAGCAGCCAGAATTAAAAAAAATTCAGGGGGAGAAACCCCCTGACCCCTCCTAACATGATCAATATCACCCGTCAGAAAACAATTGCAACGTCTCAGATTGTGCCCCCCTAGAATTTTGGCTTGCATGACGCCCCTGCTGCAGTCTCTTGCCCAAAATCCCACTGTCGGGCCGGTAGCCCTGCAGCACTGCCCTAAAACTCGCCCTTAACACGTCTCTGAACAACCATACAACCTCACCATTTCACCGTTAACTGAAAACTATAGCTAGATCGCAAAATGATCATGACAGAAGAGAATGGTATTTACTTAGACTTAAAATATTAGTTCACTTCAGAATTAAAATTTCCTGATAATTTACTCACCCCCACGTCATCCAAGATTTTCAGGACTTTCTTTTTTCAGTCAAAAATAACTTCAGAGATTTAATGTCTTCTTTTATATTCAGGTGATTTCATCTAAGACTGTTTCTGGAAGTCAGTTGTAGTGTTTGTGTTTCTGCTTATCTCGTTTTCTGTTCTCTTTTTTCCTTTGGTGATTCTGCTTGTTAACCGGCTTAAGGTGGAGATGACTCCACATTTAATACAGACTTTGTGGCTCAGATAAGTTCCAGTTCTGGTTTATTTCTTTGCATGTGGCATTGTTATGGCCTGCTTGTGGCCCAGATCTGGCAAACAGGAGTGGCCGCCCAAGTGCCGTCATTCCACGCTGCATGTGGTCCAGGGGCCGTATTCACAAAGAATTTTAAGGCTAAAAGTAGCTCTTAACTGGCGAATTTAGGAGCAACTCCTAAAAATAATGGGCGTGTCACTCCTAACTTTAGGACTCCTAATTTTTTTCACTAAGAGTAATTCACGAAGCATTTTAGCCCTAAAAGTAGCACCTAAGTCTGGGACAGCTTAAAAGAAGTCGAGAG